TCTAAAGGGATGCTTAAAACTGAACTATTAAATGTGCCTATTTGTGTGCTATATGGAAATAACTGGTATTTCTTGGTTTTGCCCTACTTAATCCACTTAATACACATTAATTCAAAATGTGTATTTTATTATTAGTTTCAGAGTCAGTTTTCTGTGGTTGCCATCAATTCCAATGTTGGGATTTAGATTTTATTTAGAATGCCAAGGAAATGGAGCTAGTTTTTCAACAGACTGTATGGAATGTATTTATTGGAAATGTATGGCTTAAAAATCTACCAGTTCCTTCACATACATTATTTGTAAACCTAGTATAATACATTTTATTATAAAACAACTATATAAACTGTTTTGTACAAGGAGAAATACCCATTTGTGTGACAGTCCATGTTAATTGACTGTCACATTCAGCTTTACTGCATGTGGTGTAGTATACTCAACTGTATGTTTTTCAGAATGTTCTTTCTTCACTAGCTTTTAACTTAGAATGTAAAAAATGAAAGAAGAGGTGGGTGAAATGCTGCTGAAAAGTCAAGTAAAATGAGGACTGAAAAACATATCGATTTGATTTAGTGTCCTGGAATAACAGGTGGCCTTAGAAAGACAGGGGCAGCAGCCTCACCAAGATCTCTGTAACCGTCCGGGCTTGTATGTGTTCCAGCTCATCCACAGATGAAAGAGGAAGAATTCATAACTGCATTTTCTGTCAGCAGCACGGGAGGCAGGTGAAGGTGGTTGAAGCTGGCCAACAGGAAGACTCACTGATCCTGTGCTTGGCTGACAGGACCAGTGGCTGCAAGTGCAGCAGAGCCAAGGAGCGCCCCCTGCCGGCCATGGCTGCGCTGCACCCCACAGCTGCTCTGCTGTGGCAGTGTGCTTCTGTTCTTCCTCTGTGCATTGTGAGGGTCGGCTGTCAGGAGTGTTAAGGAGTATTAATTCAGTGGTTGCTTATTTTTGTTATATAGGTATGACTATAAATATAATTTGCAACTGTTAGCTAAAGAGTCTCAGCAGAGTACAGAACTGGTTCACATTATGGTCCCTTTTAAAAATTGAAAACTCTGTTATTTTGACAAATTTGAGAAATGTGCCAATAGCTGTTAGTTCTAATCTTCATTTCATTGATTTCTATTCACGAGTGAAATCCATTTTCTACATAGCTTCCAAAGCGAATTTATAAGAGTGGGAGTGAGATTGCTTTCATCCACTGCTCAAAATCTTAGGTGTCTTCCCATCACTCCTATTAATAGGAATCAATCCAACTGCTTTCAGTATTGACTCCTCCGAGTCTGACCTCAGGTCCCAGCCTGTTCACTTTGTCACTGGACCTTTTGCTGTTCCTGAACGTATTGAGCTTATTTCCATCCCACGACCTTTGTAATAGCTATGCCCTCTACCTAAAACACATTACTCCTGGAGATAACAGATGGCCTTAGAAAGACAGGGGCAGCAGCCTCACAATATTTTTCTGTCATAGCACATAGTCCCTGCAACTTTATATTGATTATTCACTTGTTTATTGTCTAACTTCCTGAATAGCATTTAAACTCCCCAAGGATAGTATTTTGTTGGTTTGTTTCCTGCTATATCCTTACTGCCCAGAACAGTGCCTGGCACAAAGCAGGAGCTAAATGAACATGTGGCGAATAATAAAGAAATGGGAAGACAGTGACTATGTGGCATGTCAAAAATCCTGCTTTTCATGCCAAAGGGTGGTGTTTTAATTTTAAGTAAAATTTTAATAATTATTTCTAAGAACAAGCCCAAAGTAGTTGAGAATAAAACAAGATCCACTCCTATTGTCATTTTGGAGTTACATAAGTAGCCTAGATCACACCAGGGACAAAATAAATAATTTCAGGGCACTGGATAGTCATTGGTTACAGCTTTACAAACCTTTAGTAATAAAGGACCGTTGGTTTGTTTCTGCCACCTTGAGCATTAGAAGTTTTGGAGAATTTTTGACAAGTTGAGGAGGAAATGGCAAAAGGCATAGCTACCTTTTATTAAATGCTTAACTTTCTGCAAATTGCTAAAGTACTACTACTCTTTTTTCCATTTCAAACTTTGTCTCAGTGATTTTCAGCACCTTATCAATTACTGAGCTGTTTTTACCAGCATCACATCCACACAGCGACTCTGTTAGGCAGACATCATTGCTTCCTTTTTCATTGCTTAGGTTATTTTCCCAACAGCTCATGGCAGAACTGGGTCCTCAATCCATGTCTTTAAACTCCAAATCTCAATTGAATATTTCATTGACTGTATGCAAAAGAGAAATAGCCAAAGACCTCTGAAAATTGCTTATGGAAAATAACCACTACAAATTTGTTCACACACTCCCCCAGCTGGTTCAAGTTGGACCATGTGTGGGCATGCAGCCCCTTCTCTCCTCCAGGTGGGAATCATCACAACCGCCCCACCCAGTGTGTGTTGGTGGAGAAAAGCAGAGTCTGTGTGTTAGCAGCCTCCGAGTTCAGCAAACCAGACCAAGTACTTGATGCAGGAGTAATCACCTGAACCTAATTTAGTCTTCTGGTCTGGAGGCAGAGAAAGATATGGGGAGCTTCAAATACCTGGAAAGGCTTTTCTCATTAACATTTATTCCTGTAATGACTGAGCCATTCTTTTTGCAGGACAGCCCTTCATCCTTTTCTGTCCCATGTGTAATTTTACACTATTTTTATCTGCTGGTGCTGGGAAAGGATCATTTGTGGGGAAGGATCTTTAATTTCCCTCTGCCCCAAAGCCTATTAGCTCCCCAAAGAAGTCTATAACGTTAATCCCCCTTGGTGCCTCCTGACAGCACTAAGCACATATTGCACAAGATAGGCATTGCTCACATTTAATGGAATCTCACTTAATATGTTCACAGTAGATAACACACGTGGTGGAAGGAGGTTTTCCAAGAGCGTGGAAGGACCCTGAAGCCATCTCATGGCATGGATGCTATAAAGAAGCTGGGATATGGAGGCGTGTCTGGAATCAGCCTTAGCAGCAACTAGCCCTCAGTGCCCACACTGAAACAGAGAATTCTGGGATGGAGAAATTATGGGGCAAGTCTTATATTCTTATGGTATTAAGAGTGGTCATATCAGGTCACTGAGAAACAGGCAAATCAAAGAGCAAGCAGTACTCACGGGGACTTGGGATAAGGGGCAGAGATTTACTGCAGAGGAGGGAGCGTCCTGGAACTCAGAGAAGTTCCAGGTTCTCAGAAGCTAGAGGAAGATCATGAGGAAGTCCCCTCATTTGCTTGCTGTCAGCCCTACATCTCTCACAGACACAAAGACAAATCACGTGATAGCGAGGCTAATTACTTATTGACCCCGTCAAGAAAGGTGTCATTCATGGTAGACTTCCCCTAGGTATGGCAAAGAAAGTGAGAAATGCAGAGCAAACTTTTGATTCTTGATGAATTGACAAGTCTTCTTAGGCAATCAGGGCAGACCCCGAAGACACGGGGATAATGCCTTCCTGTGTGACAGTGATGGAAACCGGGTCACAGAACTTGTCACAGCAGGACATGGGGACCAGGAAGGGAAGCAGGACATGGGGACCATGAAGGGAAGATGCTGGAGCCCAGGTGCAGAAGCAATCATTCAGCACTAAATAAGCAGAGAAGAAAGAGAACACAGAAACTTATTAAGTGTTCCTTGGACTGATTGGAGGATGGAGAGAAATTCTATTACAGAGAAAAATGGTGAAGAAAGAGATCTCACCCTACCTTCTAATTTACGTTATTTACTAGAATAGGAGGAAGGGTATTGAGTAAGTGACCTTTTCTTTTTACTGTTGCTAATGCTATCTTAACCTTTCCCCACTGAATCTAGGAAAACCTGAAAGGAAGCAATACAGGATTGTTGGTTTGTTTCTGCCACCTTCAGTATTAGAAGTTTGGGAGAATTTTTGAGAAGTTGAGGAAGAAATGGCAAAAGGCATAGCTACCTTTTATTAAATGCTTAACTTTCTGAAATTTGCTAAACTACTACTACTCTTTTTTCCATTTCAAACTTTGTCTCAGTGATTTTCAGAACCTTATCAATTACTGAGCTGTTTTTACCAGCATCACATCCACACAGCAACTCTGTTAGGCAACATCATTGCTTCCTTTTTCATTGCTTAGGTTATTTTCCCAACAGCTCATGGCAGAACTGGGTCCTCAATCCATGTCTTTCAACTCCAAATTTCAAGCTCTCTGCACAAACTTCGTTACCAAATTATTTTTATGGTAATATTTGGGCATGAACCCCTAATGCTTTTGGAAGACGCTGGTCCCTGGGCCACCACTCTCCACCAGGATCAGAGATCACCAACCTGGAGGCTTAGACCAGTGCATTGTCTCGGGCCTGGAGACAGCGATCTGTAGAGGCAGAACAGAACACATTCAGACGCCAACACCAGTTTAGTTTTTAGAAAGAAACGGGATGATTCTCCAGGTTAGGACAGAGGGCACTGAATATTGGGTATTACTTTCCTTTAGATTTCTCCCTTTTGTAACATGGGGATTTAGCTTACTAAAAGGTCAAGTAGCTCAACTTACTAATTTTGGTCAAGTCAAGTATGTTTTCCTTAACAATTCCATGTTCTTTACAATATTCCAGAAACTTTGCCTTGACACTTGGGCTCACATCTGGTTCTCGGCCTGTGGGAAGAGTAACAATGATTGCTGGTTCTTGTGTATTAGTTACAGAGGTACATGAGGGGACAGGGCTCCAGAGGGATGGGAAATGGACAGCACCAATTGGATGCTGAGGCAGAAGTCTTACAGGGTGGAGATAGCCTGTCCTGAGTTTGACATCAGTAAGATATCTTTCTGGCATGATGAGAGATTATGTGATCGTCCTATCACTGAGCCTAAGGGTTTACCAAGGGAAAGCATCTGTCTTCTGAAGGGGAGAGATAGTCCAAGGTAAGATTGGGAAGATCACTGAGTATCTAGGGTTCCTTCTCCTCCCCTCTCTCCCCACCCCAAGATGAGTGCCAGCATGAAAATACTCTACCATAGAGCTCCATAATTTGGGATTTTCCCTCATTGTTGGAATTCTCGACATGATAAACAAGGTAGTCAGTATAGTCAGTTTCAAGGATGTGAGCTACAGTGTGCCCATCATCTGTGGAGGAAACAGAATACAGCTCAGAACTTCTTTGGTCCATGGGAAGCAGTTGAAACCCTTTACCTGTTCTTCCCCACAAAACAAATCCAAGTGCATTTCCTGGATGAGATATAGAGCCAGGATGTTCAGTGCCTTCCATTTGCATCTCCCTGGGCTTCATGAAGCGACTTCTAAGGATAATGTAGATTGACCCAAATTGAGCCACAGCAGCAACTCATCTTCCCTGATACCTACCTACCCCCCTTGTCATCTCTGTCCGTGATGTGTCTTTGTCCTCTCTCTAAGCCCCACTGGAACCACATACCTAATGCTACATCCTGAGTAATGTGTTGTGGAAACAGCCACCAGCATCATCAGAAACATGGCAGAGAATGAGAAGCTGTCCTGGCAGTTTACTTTTCTTTACCTGCCAATTAGCTTTTGTTGCAGGAGGTACATACAACCAAACTGCCTTCTTCAGCTGATGGATTTGTGTCAAGCATTGGCTTTCACATACAAAGTTCTCCCCAGTTCAGGATATTGGGTATTAGATGACCCCTGTTATATTACCCAAATAAGCATTGATCAAGAATTGATCCTGAAGCTATTGGGGTTTAGCAAATTCCTTCCAGCTGGAAGTAGACTTTAGAAAGAATTTTTTTGTATACTTACATTCAACACTACATTCACCATCGTTTCCTGTTGAGTCACAAACCAAAGGAATTTCACTGCACTCTCCATTTACGCTGTGAAACAGCATGAGTTAATGCCCAAGAGATATTGGTCAGGCTGGCTCCCTTCCCCTCTACTCTCCCCATAACTTGAGTTTCTGATTCCACCTAAGTTTCAGACATTTTCTTGTTCAGTTACCGGAGAATATTATTTTGCTTGGTTTTATCACTCTTGCTACTACCACTACTTGCCACTGTTATTGTCACCACAAGTACTTGTCTAGATCCTGAGCACAGTGTTCACGACCTGGCAGCCTCTCAAGTAAGTGCTTTACAAATGTTACCTGAGTTGGTCCTCACAAAAAGACACGAGGGAGAATTGTTATCAACTCCTCCTACCCGCAGGAAAATGGAAGTGGAGAGAGATGAATTATCTTGGTAACACAGCTAGTAAGAGATAGATTCAAATTCAGGTTGTTGATTTCATATTCTATGCTCTTAATGCATGCTATATTGTCGTGCTTCTTAGGATTCTGGTGTGCCTCTACCTCCTACTGTCTCCACTCCCATCAAATTTATTCCTGTTACCAACTCTTGTCTCTGAATCTTGAAAAGCCCCAGATCCATCAAGTCCTGGATCAGTAACAGATGAGGGACTATGATTTTGCACACAGGCTCAGCATGTGTGTGTGTACACATTTGCATATGGGTACGTATGTGCACACTTGTGTGTGCCTGTGTGTATATATTCAAGATCATATCCAGGCTTCAATTTTTCTTTTCCCAACTAAAAAATCTCCTACTTAGGAATAATAAACACTGGAGGTTCCAAAAAGTGGGAGGGTGGGAGGTTGGGTGAAGGATGAAAAATTACCTATTGGGTACAATGTACACCATTCAGGTGATGGGTATGCTAAAAGCCCAGACTTAACAACTACACAATATATCCATGTAACAAAATTGTGTTTATAACCCCCACATCTATAAGAGGAAAAAACATCCCATGCTTACATTGTATGGAATTTAAAGTAGAGAGAAGCGTTCTTCAGGGCATGGATGCGTTCCACGAAAACCCTCATGCTGCCATTCTCTTCAATCTTTTCCTTATGATCAGAGGCCAAGTAAATGGAATACCAGTCTCCTGAAATCTGCAATAAATAGTAAAAGGATTGGGTAAGAAAAGAGGAGAGGGGATACCACATGGACAATTCTCTCCTTGGACTCTGGCCAGTGGGCTAAGACTTATGATGGTGTTGTGAAGATAGAATTAGAACTCGGGTCAATGGGCACCATGCCTAGGGCTCTTTCCACTGACCCTCCAGAAAAATGAAGGTCCCCAAGCACTGTCATCTTTCCATATGATGCAATTGCTCTTAGTACAAGGCCAGAAACTACCCCTTTTGTCTAATATGTTAAGGAAATTCTGCCCCATCCCCTGAATAAGACCCACTTGGCTTCAGAATCCTCCTAGCACTCCCCCACACCGCAAGTCAAAAGTTACTACACTCCATGGCTCTACCTTTGACAGATCAAAGTTGCTTGTCACAGGATCACCCGTTTCCTGTGCGTGGCTACAAACTAGGGCCAGGCCCAGACTCAGCAACAGCAGCTTCATCTTGATAGGGGATGGCACTGTCTCCTCTTCAGTTGCCAGGGGTGAGTCTTTCTCTAGCAGCGGCTCCTCTGTCTTTATATCAATTCTGGATCCAGATTTCTGTACATGGGCCACCACCTTTCCTCCTCCCCCTTCACTGGTGTGAGGCCAAAGATTATTCTTACCCTTTTGAAACGTGGCAATTCCACCTCTGTTAGATCTGGTTAGTGACCTTAAATTTCTCAGAACCTCTTCTCAAGAAAAATAGTGGATGTTCTAAAGGGCTGCCATTTGGAACCAGATTGAACTGTGTTCTGGCTTTGGAATCAGAAAGCCAATTATGTGTGGCTGGAATGGGTATAACAGGGAAATGGAATGTGTGAGAATCTTTGTTCTACCTCTCACACAGTGTGTGGAAGTATGTGAGTTACTCAATTTTTACAAGTCCCAGAAACAAAGAAACTGTCTCTACCAAGGATAACAGTACCTATCACAAAGCATTAAAATAGGATTAGCTAAAATGATGGCTTTAAAGTATGGCATCTGGTGTTCAGTACATTTTACTTCCTTCTCCATATTATGTGAACCCAACCACTGCAGCCTTTCCTCTCCCCCCAATGAACGAACCAGCATCTAATCACCATGTGTAAGTCTCTACGTGGTCCCAGAAGAGAAAAGAAGTACAAGATATCATTTCTTCCCTCAATGAATCTTCATGAAGTTGGGAAGATGCTTTATATACATAGTAACAACTTGATTCTAGAAGCATATGAAATGACCCATTGAGGGGCAGGTACCAAGTCCAGACTGTATACAATAAAGGGGTGCTGTTGGGGTGGTGGCATCACACAGAAAGTGACCAAGAACACAGGCTCAGGGGTCATGCACACCTGGGCTTCACTCCTGTCTCTGCGATTTGGAACCCATGTGGACAGATTTTAACTTCTCTGAGCCTTAGTTTCCTCTCTCTGGGAATAATGATACCTCCCTAACAGAATGCTGCAGGGATTCAATTGGAAGGCGTGCATAAAACCCTGAACATGATGTCTAGCATACACTGAGCTGGTAGGGGCATAACAATAAGCCTGAGTTTCTGCATTGAGGCAAGAGCTGCCCAGCGCCATGATAAGTGGAGACTGGAGGCTACACAATAAGCACATTGTTCTTTTGATTGCTGCTTAGCCCCATAAGATGGCAGGTTAGTCAATGATGGGTAAGACCCCTCAAGGGAGGGGCAACCTAAGCCACAGAGGATTGGCCTATGAGGAACTGGGGATGAAAAATACCCCCTGTGGTGGCCTTGCCCAACCTTGCTAATCTCGATCTGTGATCTATGCCTGGCACCTCGAGCAACTGCTTGGAAACCTTGAGTCAGGAGACATCTGTGTCCTTAGGCTATGTGTTCCGGAATTTATGGCTAACGCTGCCACGTCTGGGTGGGCATGTACAAGGAACTATGATTTTTGGGATATAAAAATTAAAAGAGTGGTGCGTTCTGCACTGCAGTCTTGTAACTGTCTTTGTGTGTGTGTGTCTGTCTTTTTGCGTTCTGTGTTCATCCTCCATCCTGCAAATGGGCCACGACAGTTAAAGGTTTGTGTATTTATAAAAATGGGAAGCATTTGAACAGTTTTAAAAGCAGAGACGTGGCATGATCAGAGGTGTGTTTTTAAAAATCCATCTGACAGCAGTTGGAGAAAGGACAGCAATGGGCAGGCAGTGGCAATAGCAGGAGAGGTTGCTGGGAGATCACTTAGGAAGCTGTTCAAACATGCAGGCAAGAGATCATGTTAGCTTGGAGAGAAGTGGCTGGAGTTGAGGGATTTTTAGATATAAAATGAATTGGGGGCTGGGCACGGTGGCTCACGCCTGTAATCCTAGTTCTCTGGGAGGTCAAGGCAGGTGGATTGCTTGAGGTCAGGAGTTCGAAACCAGCCTAAGCAAGAGCGAAACCCTGTCTCTACTAAAAATAGAAAGAAATTAATTGGCCAACTAATATATAGATAAAAAATTATCTGGGCATGGTGGCACCTGCCTGTAGTCCCAGCTACTCGGGAGGCTGAGGCAGTAGGATCGCTTGAGCCCAGGAGTTTGAGGTTGCTGTGAGCTAGGCTGATGCCACGGCACTCACTCTAGCCTAGGCAACAAAGCAAGACTGTCTCAAAAAAAAAAAAAAATCTATCTGTACAAAAAAAAAATTGGGGTCAAGATTAACTTCCAATTTTCTTATTGGTCTATGCAGATGAATTGTAGAGTTATTCATGATGATAGGAAAGAATGGAGGAGGGATGGATAAGAGCAAGATGTTTCAGCCACTATTTTGAAACCGTGTCTCTGTGCATGTGAGTAGGAGTATGTTTGATTTACTGTGTACCCATAGAAACAAATGCTGTACAAACCTACAAGGCAGATGTGCAAATGATGCGCATGTAAAGTGTTCAAATTTGAAAGCTTCTCATGGATTTTGTGGTGTGGCCAAATCATGCCTATTCTTTTTTCTCCTAAAATATATTTTCCTATGTATCATATTATGAATGGTTTTTATTAATTATGGCTAGGAAATGTTTCCTCAGAATGTATTGAGTTGAACTGTATAATACTGTCATTTTATAGGTCAAAAAATTTGAGTATTGTCAGTTTCATATGGTTGAACTGAATAGTAGTGATGCTACTGTTGACATTAATGCTTTTCTTTTCCTGAAATGTATTTTATCTTAAATGATAGACTTTAAAAACATATTTTAATAATTAATATGAGAAACTTGAAAAGGAATATCTAAAGGGATGCTTAAAACTGAACTATTAAATGTGCCTATTTGTGTGCTATATGGAAATAACTGGTATTTCTTGGTTTTGCCCTACTTAATCCACTTAATACACATTAATTCAAAATGTGTATTTTATTATTAGTTTCAGAGTCAATTTTCTGTGGTTACCATCAATTCCAATGTTGGCATTTGGATTTTATTTAGAATGCCAAAGAAATTGAGCTAGGTTTTGAATAGACTGTATGGAATGTATTTATTTGAAATATATGGCTTAAAAATCTACCAGTTCCTTCACATGCATCATTTATAAACCAAGTATGATACATTTTATTATAAAACAGTTATATAAACCATTTTGTACAAGGAGAAATACCCATTTGTGTAACAGTCCATGTTAAATGACTGTCACATTCAGCTTTACTGCATGTGGTGTAGTATACTCAACTGTATGCTTTTGAGAGTGTTCTTTCTTCAATTAGGTTTTAACTTAGTATAGAAAAAATGAAGGAAAGAAGAGCTGGGTGAAATGATGCTGAAAAGTCAAGTAAAATAAGTAAAATGAAGACTGAAAAAGATATCCATTTGATTTAGTGCCCTGGAGATAACAGGTGGCCTTAGAAAGACAGGGGCAGCAGTCTTGCCAAGATCTCTGTGTCGTGGCCCGATTACAGAACTGGGGATGACATACACAGAACATATACATAAGATGCAGACAGACAGAAGTGGCTGCAGTCCCAGAAGAAAAAAGGACACAGAGACAAGAGACGGTTTCAGACTGCAGCACTGGAAAAGTGCTCGTCAATTTATTATATACAGTTTAATTGGGCAAGTGTCCCACAGCTATTTTCTCATGCCAGCTACTTTCCCAGCTACTTTTTGGTACGTGATGTCCCACAGCCAACAAAACCTACTTTTCCAGTTAAAGCAAAAAGCATGGCCTCCTACAAGAGATCTCTTTGATGTTTTGTACTGCTTTCGGATAACAAACAATCTGGGCTCGAGTGCGAGACCTTGAATCTTAGACCATCTTGCAGGGCCTAGCACTGCATGCTGGTTACCAGGCAACCTTGGTTCGCATGCGAGGCCACAGGTTCTTGGCCATTTGCCTGGAGAAACAGTCTCTTCAGCTGGTCAACAAGCCACATCCTGCTAATTGTGGGAACAAGCAATGGGCTCCCGTTCTGCTGACTTGGGATCTCAGCCAATCTGACCCAGAGACGGCTCACTTCACTCTGTAACTGTCCGGGCTTGTATGTGTTCCAGCTCATCCACAGATGAAAGAGGAAGAATTCATAACTGCATTTTCCGTCAGCAGCACCCAAGGCAGGTGAAGGTGGTTGAAGCTGGCCAACAGGAAGACTCACTGATCCTGTGCTTGGCTGACAGGACCAGTGGCTGCAAGTGCAGCAAGGCGCAGGAGCACCCCCTGCTGGCCATGGCTGCGCTGCACCCCACAGCCGCTGTGCTGTGGCAGTGTGCTTCTGTTCTTCCTCTGTGCATTGTGAGGTTTCTGTTGTCAGGAGTGTTAAGGAGTATTAATTCAGTGGTTGCTTATTTTTGTTATATAGGTATGACTATAAATATAATTTGCAACTGTTAGCTAAAGAGTCTCAGCAGAGTACAGAACTGGTTCATATTATGGTCCCTTTTAAAAATTGAAAACCCTTGTTATTTTGACAAATTTGAGAAATGTGCCAATAGCTGTTGGCTCTAATCTTCATTTTATTGATTTCTATTCACGAGTGGAATCCATTTTCTACATAGCTTCCAGAGCAAATTTATAAGAGTGGAAGTGAGTGAGATTGCTTTCATCCACTGCTCAAAATCTTCAATGTCTTCCCATCACTCCTATTAATAGAAATCATTCCAACTGCTTTCACTATTGACTTCTCCAAGTCTGACCTCAGGTCCCAGCCTGTTCACTCTGTCACTGAACCTTTTGCTGTTCCTGAACATGTTGAGTTTGTTTCCATCCCACGACCTTTGGAATTGCTGTGCTCTCTACACAAAACACATTTCACGTTTCATGTTTCATGTACATCTTTGCAAGCCTTGCTGTCCTCAAAGTTGCTCTCTGGCCCTGCTTTATTTTTCTGTCATAGCACATAGTCTCTGCAATTTTATATTGATTATTCACTTGTTTATCGTCTAACTCCCTGAATAGCATATAAACTCCCCAAGGATAGGAATTTTGTCAATTTGTTTCCTGCTGTATCCTTATTGCCCAAAACAGTGCCTGGCACAAAGCAGGAGCTAAATGAACATGTGGCAAATAATAAAGAAATGGTAAGACACTGGCTACATGGTGTGTCAAAAATCCTACTTTTCATGCTAAAAGGCGGTGTTTTATTTTTAAGTAAAATTTTAAAAATTGTTTCTGAGAACAAGCCAAAAGTAGTTGAGAATAAAACAAGATCGATTCCCATTATGATTTTGGAGTTAAATAAGTAGCCTAAATCACAACAGGGACAAAATAAATAATTTCAGGGCACTGGATAATCATTGGTTACAGATTTACAAACCTTTTAGCATTCTCTCAATTGAATACTTCATGGACTGTATGCAAAAGAGAAATAGCCAGTGACCTCTGAAAATTGCTTATGGAAAATAACCACTACAAATTTGTTCATACTCTCCCCCAGGTGGTTCAAACTGGACCATGTGTGGGCATGCAGCCCCTTCTCTCCTCCAGGTGGGAATCATCACAACTGCCCCACCCAGTGTGTGTTGGTGGAAAGAAGCAGACTCTGTGTGTTAGAAGTCTCTGAGTAGAGATTTTTCCAAGTTCGTAGTGATCATCAGGAAAATAATTGCAGGACGCACCACATAAGCCAAGTAAGCAACAACTGTTTTTTGTTGAAAGTGAAAATGCAGGTGCACAGGTGAGAGAGAAAGAGATAAAGAGAGCTCACACATGTGCAGGATAGGTTTGAAAAGAGCAGCTGCACCAGGTGGAAGTGGTTTTTCACCTTTTGAAGTCTTACTAATTGAATAGAAAAATATTCAAGGCTAAGTGGTTGTCTTTTACTAAGAACTTGGGTAGTAATTCCTAGAATTGGGTTATCTCTCATTTTTATATTTTATATGGTTGTCTTGGAACTGCCATTGTGATTTCAAGGGTGGAGAAATTTTAAAACCACAATGTAAATGATATTATAATTAGCCAAAGTTCATGTAAGGTGGCAGAGATAGCTGACAAGCCAGCAGAAGCCAGTTCTTGCCTGCAATTATGAGCCCCTCTAGTTATCTTCTGCTTGAGGGTTGTTTACTTTAACAGCTGTACCCAGTCTTTAAGCCCCTGCATAGGGTCTCAGCCCTGTCTCCTAGTCTCCTACTCTAACATGCATGAACATAACACACAAGAAGCACTCTGGAGTGGTCTCCTCATCTGCATCATGCTCCTCTCTGTCCTAACTTCATCCCCACCCACCACACCCTGGACACAACAGGCCACGCAGTCTTTCCATGAGACCTCGAGTTCCCCAAGCCCTGAGTTGCACTCCTAGACAGCCCACCCAAACAAAACTGCACACAGAAACATCCCAAGGGGTGCTACCCTCTGTCCTGATCCCTAATGGGTGGCTCGATCCTATCCCAAGATGGTCACCTCCTATGACAGCAGAGACAAGGGCCTAGCCATCTTACGTATAAGCTGTGCTGGATGCAGCATGGGTGGGCAGGGGTTGACCAGCAGCCCTCCAAGCCGGCAGGC